ATCTTTATCTAGAGCTCTGACAAATTACTTTTTGATGGTCCACAGATCCGAACGCTCTTCAATGATCCCAATTTTACATCTCAAATGACAAATTTAGAGAAAGCGGCATGGACTAGCTTCCATGCAGTTTCTAAGTATTTTTTAGGGAACAATAAAAGTCCGAATTATAAAAAACTAGTAGGTGTTATGATTGAAAACTATAAGAATTTAGGATGTAATATGAGCATCAAATTGCATTTTGTAGACTCTCATCTCAATTTCTTTCCAGAAAAATTAGGTGATTTCAGTGAAGAGCATGGAGAGAGATGTCATCAAGACATGAAAGGTATGGAAAAGCGCTATCAAGGAACATGGGGTATAAATATGATGGCAGACTACTGTTGGAATTTAAAGCGACATATAGAAACAGTTCCAGTGACACCTAAAAGAAAACCATTACGTAGATCGTTTGAACAAAAGCAAGTCCGTTATCACAAACGGACATTAAATTAAACGGACATTACGATGTAGTAAAAAGGACTAGCTTCGTGATCAGTGACTCAAAAAATATGAAGATCAACTGTCTAAAGAACCAGAATTCTAATCTGCGTTCAATGTTCCGGCCAAAACTAGATATCCAAGTCTTATTTTGGATAACCGCAACGCGACCTACAGAAGTCGGTTTAAAAAAATAGTTACTACGTATTCGGACGTAAAATTTTCCGCTCTTTCAGAATCTGGAGTCAAAAATATTGTATCATCCGATTTGAATGATTTGACCTCCGTTTGACCTTGATTCTGACATGTTGAGGTTCAAAAAAGATTGGATTTGGAATCAGGAATCCCAAAAATACATTATGAATTTTTTAAAAATTTTTTAACGGGTCGATTCGCAATTTGACCTTCAAATGCCCTTAACCCTGACGTGATGGAGTCAAACGGACCCCGGATTCGGATTCAGCGACCTCAAAAACAGAAAGAACATACAGTCAGATATCGGGGAAAATACTTTCATTTTTTTTTGTGGAGCTATGTTATATGCAACTTCACGAATCATCAAATTTTATGAAAGAGAATGAAAATGAATGAAGGAAACAATTGTTGTATTGTGGATCAGTGCTTGGAAGAAGAATGTGATATAAACAAAAATGTTATCTGAATTGAAAGTCTCTTCAAAAAAGAAATTAAACTATTGAATTGAAGAATAGCACAACTAGGAAATATTGAAAGTGGGTATATTTGTCAACGTTACAATGATCGATTTGTACAACATTATTCATGGCATAAAAAAATGCGATGATCCTTGGAGGAAGCTTTCCACAAATATCCAAACTAATTTGTGAGTTTTGATTTGATTTAAATGTAGTGGAAGATTTACAGTAAATCTGTGCAATCAATATTATTCCAGGTAAAAAAATGTGTACAAACTATTTGAACGAGATAACAAACAATGTTGAGAGTTATAAAAAGGAATTGGAGTATTGTCTTGATCTATTCGACAGGCATAGAAATTTGATGTATAGTAATTTATCATGTCTTTATGAACAATCTTTATTTTATATAAGTAAAATATAAAATAAACAGTATAGTTCAGAACATAATATTGGGGTTGTAGCTTGCAATTAAAAGCTAATTTTACGCAATATATCAAAACAATAGAAAAACCTAAAGCTCACGTGGCATTCAGTGAAGCAAAGAGTCAATCTTCTTCAAAAGAAAATAATAAATGAGCCACTCAGAATAGTTCTGGCTCCAAATATTAATTCAGTAGTCAAAAGAAGAGAATCCTTGATGGCTATCTTGAGGTATTTAAAATCGATCCTTTTAAAAAACAAAAAGCATTAGATAATAGTATGTTGATGAAGAAGTTAAGATTATTCAGGATACTGTTAATAAAGTCTGTAATGCTACTGAAGAAACAAGTATTGTTGATATGCCTAGTAATTTTAGAGAATTTAACAAAATAGATGAGCAGAGTTCAGCATTTGAAAAAATTATCAATAATCTTAAAAAAAATATACACAATTAGTAAATACTTTAAATGAAAAATTTAGCCTATTAGCTTTAATACCAGATGATTGGACATTGTCAAAAACCAAAGAATATTTTCATTGTGCGCACTATATGTTCTATGAAGCTAAAAAGTTCAAACAACATGGTAAATATAAAATGTGAAAAAAATTTTTGATGGCTTGTGATATAACATCTTCGTTGATTCAAATAATAAATGTCACTGATGTGTAAATGACTTTTGTATTATTTTTCAATAATTGAAATAATTGTTCTTGTAATTGTTTAGCATCGTGTTTCATTTTCATTGAGATATTATATTATTAATCTTGTCTTGAACATTTTCATATTATTTATACCATTAGAAAATTTTTTAGGTATTTTATCATAGAATGTAGGAAATTTTTAATACAAAATGTACTTATTTTTGATGTACTGATATCACCATCGATGTGAAATTTATTATTAGATTTAGTAAGAATAATAAAAATATCTTAAGTTGATACATAATAACAGCTTAATTACTCCAATCGGTACATTATGTAACATCAGATAAGCTATTTGTTTATTTTACATTTTACATTTTTTTTTCTTTCACTCATTAAATGTATGAGCAAACATTAATTACACAGTATTTACTGAAATATCTCCTAAACCAACTTGCAGTGACCACTTTTTCCTTGGAACGACTCACTGAATTCAAATACTGGTTATTTGATCTTCTTTTCCTCCTTGAAATTGACAGATTCGCTATCCGGGTTGCACAGGAGCAAATGACAGGTACAGCCTCCCTCGCTTACCTACCCCATATTTCACGCCCGTACAACGTCTCTGCGTTCGCTCCTAATCCTTCATATCTACTGGTGGGCGGCAGATATTTGCGTTATCGATTCCTGAATGATGAACCAAATCTCTCCCTCCAATCTAAACTGTAAATATGCCCCCTCCCACTGCGTTAAATTAAGTTTATATATTAAGCTCGTGCGCACCTCTCTGAGGTTCTCTTATTTGTATTCTTAGATTATATAATTAGCTTTAGTCTCTACATGTACATTTGCGCTGCCTTGCACTTCTATGTATCAACTAGATTTGACTGCTGTCTTGCAACAATCCGCTTGCTAAAACATGCCATTTGTACGCTTACAATACTGCTATTGTCACTATCACTATTATATATTGTCAACTGTGTATTTCTTTCAACCACACGGGGTCCTACCTCATGGTTTAATAAAGATTAATCAATCAATCAATCTCTCTCTCTCTCGTGACTCGCTCTTTCGCTGTAGCCATGGCAAGAGTAATGGAAATCAAGAACCATTAGCGATGCTCGCCACGCTTTATTTTAGAGCCAATACCTGTGCCGGGCATCGTCATTTGGAGCCAATTGGGAGCAAGAGCAGCTGCAGCGAGGAAGAGAGACAGGAATAGATGCGTCGCGCCGGTTCACTCGCGAGAGCGAAGCCACCGGCGTTGCTCGAGCTGGCACGCGCGCGGTTGGGGAAAGAATTCGAGTCGAGATCTCGAGAAGAAAAGATCGACAGTGACAGCCCAGAGCGCGCGCGCTAACAAAATACGAATCGTTGAGCAAAGAGGGACAAGGGATCGAGACGACGCTGAACAGATTGTAGCCAGGAGAAAACTTCAATTGACGCCCAAGAAATTGAGGATTTCAACTCAACTTGACGTCAACCTGCCAGCAGTTCCAGCAACAGTTCCTTCCAGCAACCTTCGTCAAATCAGTTCGTCTCTCTCTCTCTCCTTCTCTCTCTTTTCATTCGCGTACGCGCGATGCGTCGATGAAGTGCTCGCAATCATCCGCGAGCACATAAATTTGAAGACATACACACATGCCACTACGACTCTAATATTCTTGGCAGTAAGTGTCCGCGCCAAAAACCACACAACGCCCTTAGTATAGCTGGAAATAGTGGATGACTTCATTCGTGAGACATATTCGCAGCTATGTGTAACGTAGAATGTATCGCAAGAGGCTGGAAATTCAAGTTTTTCGGAGAGAAAGGTACTTTCGTCGATTTATTCCTTAGCAGGTTGGCGCTGGTTTAAGCGAAGTCAAACTGCTAAAAGTATTCACTAGGTCAGCATTGACGTGATACGAGGCAACATACGAGGTCCGGAAGTCGTACATCGACTTTCATCGAGCCGTATGGGACTGGTATGGTATGGACGTGTCCTAGCAACAACTCAAATGGGAAGTTTACTTATGGGTATAAAGAACCAGACGAACTCGTAACCGTGAATGTAACCTATATAATGGACTTAATCAAGAAATTGAAGCCACCCCGTAGGCCCGAGCAGCAGTTAAACGTTATGTACGGCAACCTGCCTTGCAACATACAGACGCAGGTGCGCAGACCGGAAGTTCATTCGATCAAGAAATTATTCAACCTCGTGAATATAGCAAAAAACAACCCTGACCTTAAGAAAGTTACGAAGATTGTTCCCAATCCCCAAATCATGAATGAAAATATTATTATTTTACTTTAAATAATGATTATTTTATAATTATTTTATTAACAATAATTTTTTAATAAGAACTAAAATAAGGAATGAATTTTCTGACATAGAAAGTTAATATTTCCTCATCCATAAATTAAGTAAACTTTTTCGCGACTTTTTTTCGCAAATTTTTCGCATTTAAATTGATTAAAGTTTTACGCCACTAAAGCCATTTTTTTCATATTCTAACTATCAAACAAATAACTAATTTTTGTTTTTTTTAGCACGAAATTTGGGGGAAAAAATGATCAGATTTTTATGAAAGAAACAATTTAGCCAACAGCATATTTTTTTTTAAAATACCATGTCTTTGATTGAAATTAACTTACAAGCTTGTGCGGAGTCTTAAAATGATCACGTTTTATTATAATTTATTGTGCACGCGTATGTGAGCGTGAGAATGTGTGTATGGGCGTAATCACAGGCATGTGTGTGTGTATGCGTATTTATCACATTTACAATAAAACATTTCATGCTATTAATTTTAATTTCAGATAAATCGGAAGGAAATAAGTCAAGTAACGCAATAAACTTGAATATAGAGACAGCAACCACTTTTGCAAAACAAGAGACCATAAAAACTAATTCACCTACTAAAACTGTCGCAGAAATAGATTCAAAAATTGAAAATAAAAGTACTTTTAAATTAGCACCAACACCTGCTCAATTGGGAAAAGCACCACTACAAAAGAGACAATTATCAGGTAGTTGTTCTATTTTTACATGCTATTTTTTCTATAAAAAAAGTCATATATGTAACAGTTATGAGTTTGAAGCTTTTAACTCTCATTCTCTCTCTTATCTCTCTTAAGGAATCTGGCTCTCTCTCCTCTCTCTTTTTTCCTCTCACTCTTCTCCCTCTTTACTCTCTTCTTTTTTTCTTTAATACTGTAACGGACTGGGCCGTTAATTCAAAAATATCGTCGCGCGAACAAGTGATGAGCCGAGAGGATGCGAACGAGGGAAAGAGAGAGAGAGCTCGAGTAGCTGCGGCACGTGCCGGCCGGTGCTGGGTGGGGGAGGGTAGCGGGACACTTCTCGTTTAGAGACAGACTCGCGCGGTGGTGCTTAAGAGGAATCGATTATCTTGTCGTGAAGATAGAGGTTTTTTTGGAGAGAGAGATTAGAGAGTAAGGGTGATGAGTGATCTAGCGAACAGGGATCGTGAGCGGTGCAGCAGAGAAAGAACGAAGGAGATCGAGTGAGACTCGCGGGTGCAGGAGTAAAAGAAAAGGGTGACTTTCCAGCGCGGCACGTGTTTGTAATCAGCGGACCGAGTGGCTTCGTGGTGACCTCCGCGGTCGCCCTTCAAAGAGAACTTCTTCCCGACGTGCCCGGGCGACCTGCGGGAGGCGCCCCAACGAAGCCAGGACAGCGGCGGAGGTGCGGATCGGCGAAGAAAAGCGGTAGAGCGAGCGAACGAGCGAGCGCCGGGCGAAGCTGTCTGCAGCGGCTCACCCCTTCAACGCAAGTTTTTTCCTTTGTTCTCGCGGTTGTCTGCGTGCGAGCAATTTAGCTTCCGCGTTTCGCTTCTCTCTCTCTCAATTTTTATTTAGATTCGTTGTGTGTGTGCGTAAAATCTCTCGGCCACGACTAACGGTGTCTAGAGACTCCAAAATTGAAATAAAAGGACACCATTGTCATTTCAATTGAAACTCGTGAGTTGTGTTTTCGCGACCCGAGCGTACCCATTCCCCTCCCCGCTCGTTGAACTTACGCACTCGAAAAGTGCATGTTTCACGTGATTTCGCGGACGTTTTCAGGGCGAAATCTCGAGTAGTTCGAGCTAGCAGTTTTCAAGGTCATCGGGAGCTGGTCAGGGCGGCGGTAAGCCCTGCACCGTTGGAGTAATCTTTGGTGCTGACGGGGGTATTTGCGGCGATTTTCCGGGGCATTTACCCACCGTTACAATACATAATTTGTCTACATATTTCTTAACTATTTCTTTGAATCTTTTCAATCAGTTTTGCTGTACTCGCTCTATATTGAGTCTTTCTTCTAGGTGAACGCATTTTCCTTCGGCGCGCTTCTCGTAATTTTAATTAGTCTTCGAAAGTCTTAAAAAACCTATTTCATCTGGAAACTTTGTACTTTTAATCGTTTTTTTTTCAATTCAGCCATCTTGTCAGAAACAGATTCAATCGATCTGCCTGCTGTCTTGCTATTCTATGCAGATTAAGTGTAGACAGTGGTTGATTATCGTTGTCGGTGTTTTCATAATGGTATTGCTGAGCAGCTGATGCTTCCGCAACTCGCTTCGCCTCGCCATTCATCTTCCAACTGCTAGCAGTGCAATGCTTTTACTTGAAATGTTTTTTAATATGTTGCGTTATTACAAGTGTAAAACAAAACGTGTGAGAAGTGTCAATACTGAAAGTATATAAATTTTATATGAGCTACTCGTAACTGTCAATTGGGTTATATTCTCACTGCACCCCTTATTTGCATTTCTTAACCGCACATCCACATTTATTTAAATTGCTTTAAGTTAGCTTGATATTTCTGTGATCGACTATGTTTCTAGTATTGTATAAATCTAATATAAGTTTATTGTGTTTACTCATATAACAATGATTTGTATTGCATTGTCTTGCTTGATTGTTATTTTGGCGATTAATTTAGTTCTATTGAATCATTCAGTACCTTGCCCGCAAAAAGTTATATCACTACTATAGCTCATATTATCATATTAGGCGGGTTATTCTTGAATCTCTAGGTCGTGGTGTTAGTTGGAACATTCTTATCATCTACTTGACTCGATCGTTGAACTCTTCATCTTGTGAAACAAATATATAACACTTTCTCAGTTTTCAAGCTCACAAGCTCAAAATAATCAACTATCAATTAGAGATTTTGTTTTTAAAATTGACAGTTCTATATTGATCATAATGTTTTCAAATCCACTTGCTTGTTTAAAGATAAAACTGCACATAATGTCTATAAATGTCGAAGCAATATTATTATTTCCATTTGTGCACTCTGGCCCAAACCAGTATTATAACCTATATATTAAAACAGTGAAAAATAGTAAAAGAAATTAATTATGCTAGGCTTATGGTGAGAAATTTGTATTTTGTATCAAGAAGATTTATTATGATGAGAAATTTATATTTTGTACTATGCTCTGAATTTATCGCTATTATATCAGTTATTGACTTAAGAACTTTTTATGCTATTAATGTAATAATATACAATTGTTCTGTAGATGATGGCTTAAGTAATAACACTATTATTTGAAATAATAACTTAGTCAATATTACTGATTTGGTTTCTGTAACTATTCTTACTTGTAGCAAATACGAGGTATGTTCAAAAAGTAAGGTGACTTTTCAAATTTCATGGACAACGTACGAGGTGTGTTCAAAAAATAACGAGAATTTTCGTTTTATGAAAAAAATATTTATTTATTCATCTACATTAATGTTGTCGCCTTCAAAGTAGTCCCCTTCGGATACAATACACTTATGCCAACGCTTTTTCCAATCCTCGAAACACTTTTGAAACTCGATCTTTGTAATAGCTTTTAGCTCTTTCAGCGATTCGCTTTTAATGTCATCTATACTTGTAAAACGACGGCCTTTTAATGTTCTCTTTATTTTTGGAAATAGAAAAAAGTCACATGGAGCCATATCTGGCGAATATGGAGGCTGAGGCATCGTTATAGTTTCGTTTTTGGCCAAAAATTCATGAACAAGCAATGAAGTGTAAGCAGGCGCATTATCGTGGTGCAAAAGCCATGAATTGTTTTGCCACAAATCCGGGCGTTTTTTTCGGATTGCTTCACGCAAACGACGTTGAACTTGTAGGTAGTACTGCTTATTGATTGTTTGACCTTGTGGCAAGAATTCATAATGCACTATGCCATTAAAATCGAAGAACACAGTGAGCATAACCTTCACATTCGACCGCACTTGTCGAGCCTTTTTCGGTCTTGGCGATCCAGAATGCCTCCACTGAGACGATTGAGCCTTAGTTTCGACATCATATCCGTAAACCCATGTTTCGTCACCTGTTATAACACGTTTTAGTAGTTCAGCATCGTTATTGACTTCATTTAGCGACTCCTGAGCAACTTCCATTTGCCGCTGTTTTTGTTCGAAATTCAACAATTTTGGAACGAATTTTGCTGCCACACGTTTCATACCCAAAACATTCGAAAAAATTTGATGGCATGAGCCAACTGATATGCCAACATCATCAGCGACTTCTCTGATTGTGATTCGGCGATCATTCATAACCATTTCTTTCACTTTTTTCACGTTTTCATCGGTTGTTGATGTGCTTGGGCGTCCGGGTCGTACGTCATCTTCAACGTTTTCGTGGCCATCTTGGAAACGTTTATACCACTCATAAATCCTTGCTTTACTCATAGCAGACTCACTATATGCCTTTGTTAACATTTGACAAACTTTACTACACTTTATTTCATTTTTTACGCAAAATTTAATACAAATTCTTTGATCCATTTTTTTTCACAAACGAAAATCGCCGAGCTCGAAAAACACGTCTAACGTTAGCGGCTGCCACTTAAAAAGTAAGCAATGAATATTGCTGAAAATTTTATCGTACTTCAGGGGCATGTGTACCAACATAATAAAAAAAAATTTTATACAAGCGGACTCTCCAAACCCGCGAAATTTAAAAATTCTCGTTACTTTTTGAACACACCTCGTACTTTCGATTATCGATTTTTTTTGTATTGTTATGTTGGTACACTCTTCCCGAACATCTGTACCAAGTTTCAAGTGTATAGCATTTTTTGTTTGGTTGTGAGAGGCGTAAAAGTTATAAGTGTTTTGCGTGCTCGGCGATTTCTTGCTATCGAAAAATATGGATCAAAGGATTTGCATCAAATTTTGTGTAAAAAATAAAATAAAGTGCTCCGAAACACTTGAAATGTTGACGGTGGCATACGGTGAAACTGTTCTGAGTAAAAAAAATGTTTACAAGTGGTACAAACTCTTCCAAGATGGCCGGGAAGATGCCAATGACGAGCCTCGGTCTGGACGCCCAAGCACGTCAACAACTAATGAAAACGTTCAAGCAGTGAAGAAAATTGTTCTGGAAAATCGTCGAATCACTATCAGAGAAGTTGCTGAGGATGTTGGTATATCGCGTGGCTCGTGCCATGAAATCTTTTCTAACGTTTTGGGCATGAGACGTGTGTCAGCGAAGTTTGTTCCGAAATTGCTAAATTTTGACCAAAAGAACCGTCGCATGAGCATCGCTCAAGAACTGTTGAATGAGGTCAACGACGACCCAGATTTACTCAAAAGGGTCATAACTGGTGACGAATCATGGGTATATGGTTATGATATCGAAATCAAAGTCCAATCGTCCCAATGGAAGAGCCCAGATGAGCCAAGACCGAAAAAAGCACGCCAAGTTCGATCAAATGTCAAAGTTTTGCTCACTGTTTTCTTCGATTACCATGGCGTGGTGCATCAGGAGTTCTTACCATATGGACGTACGGTCAATAAACAGTATTATCTTGAAGTTATGCACCGTTTGCGAGAAGCAATACGAAGAAAACGCCCAGAATTGTGGAAAAACAATTCATGGCTTTTGCATTACGATAATGCCCCTGCTCACTCATCTTTGCTTGTGAGAGATTTTTTGGCCAAAAACAACACCACAATCATGCCTCAGCCACCATATTCACTGGATTTGTGACTATAATCATGGTGACATATCACCATCTGAC